ACAATGCCCTTTCACAGTGTGTGATAGCTAACATGCCAACCCTTGACCAGTGCTGATTAATGAGGGTGGAAGCCGTTGCCCGATGCTGGCTCCGTATCCCTGCGGAGATATATGATTGTTCTTCCTCCATGCATACATAACCGACCTCTATTTTTTAATTTTTTTTCCTCCCCCTCCATCTGTCAAGCGGTTGCATTTTTCCATTCGCTGGTTACTCCAGGCGATAACCCCTCACCCCGTCTCCACTTCCAGCTCCTTCATAATTGGACCTCGGCTCTTCCTCCAAACTTTTACTACTTGTTTAGACTTTAAATTTTTTCACCCCGGCGTCACTCCTGCGCTCTCTGACACGGAGGTCGGAGTTCCGGGATTGATGCGCAGACGAGACTGAAGTTGACGGAAGAATTTAAGAAGGAGGGAAGGAAGGAAGGGAGGGAGGATAAATCAGATGGATGTTGTGGCAAATCTGGCATTCGTCATGACCAAGGGCAGCCTGGGAGACACCATCATCACCTTAATGATGTAAACAAAGTTATAATTCAAATAACCTCTCCTCCTCCTCCTCCTCCTCCTCCTCGCTCTCTTCCTCTTCTCCGTCTTTCCCTCCTCCCTCGGCAGCACTCGAAAACGCTTGAAGGGTTTTTAACCTTGGATTCGAAAGAGCCGAGACACAGATGGAAATGCATTTCAGCTGCAGAGAGTCAGACGATCTCGGGACTGTTCTGGGTTCGTGATTTTGCAGCAGCGGTGCCGATGCAACGCAATCTGTTTCAAAGAGGATCCGAATCGGGCAGCAGTCAGATTATCTGGGAGATTAGCTCCCCTCATAGCCGACTGTACGGCTGCTGGATTAAGTGGGTGCTCGTCGATGGGTGGGGGTTTGGTTGGCTGCTGTGTTTTTTTTTTTTCTTTTTGGCCTGTTCCTCTCCAGAAGTTTAAATTTGATGAAGCTAACGAGGTTTGAGACGTCGCTGTTGTTTCATTCCCTCACCGGCTTCAGCGATGAGCGATTACGTCTCCGTAATTGAGGAGTTACGGCGCGTGCCTTTATTATAGGAGCATCACTCGATCTGCTTCAGTAATTATAGGTTTGTTCTCTGGAGGAGTTTAGTTCTGTTTTGGTTTGAGTTCTGGTTTCCCACTGGAGCGTCTTTTTCTTATACGGCACCTATTGTAGCTGGACAGGTTTGACTGTGTATTTTAGCTTAAACCTAAAAAGTTTTGACTCCTTCCAATGATATAAATCCAATATTGTCCAAAAAAAAACAAAAAAATCACCATCTCAAGGCTAATCTTGCCATCACAATAAATGAGAATCCATTAAAAACTTTGTGAAATGTCTTTCTGCTGACAAACAAATGATTATTGCGAGTGAATATCTCGGGTTCTTGTTTTTCACCCTAATTGCTGCGTAATGACCTGCACGTTTTCCTTCCAATAAAATGGAAATAGAGCACAAGCGGATGTCGGATGTGGTGAAGTCCTGTTTTGTGTGGACAGCCGTGTGAAAGCGCCGTGGATTGGGTCGTACGTCGGTTATATTACTTAGCCCCCCCGCGGCTTTCTTGGCTGCCAAATGTCAGTCTGCCACAGTCTTATCCAGGAGTAGTGGATTACTTCATAGGATTTGGCCTTTTTAAGTAGAAACAGAGACTCCTTAAACCACAAAGCACCTCATGGGGGGAGGATCTAAAATCTGCACCCAAACTCACAAACACTCCTAAGTGGCCGTGTACGGATACTCCCCGAGCTTTATTCTCTTCATGCATTCATGGATTCCTATTAAACGCGTCCGATGGTAGAAATCTGTGTTTCAGCACAAGAACAAGGCAGCAGATGGTTGTCAGTCTGGGATTACGTGAAGAAACACAAACATTGAAACAGTCTGAATCCACACTGTGGCAAGTTCTCCAAGATGTTTTTCCAAATATACTAAAAAAAAAAAAGAGAAAGAGGAACATATGCAGGAGAGAATCTTTGCTTTAAATGCTGCTAAACTTTTGCACTCCAACGAGAGAATCCCTAATTTCTCGTCTCCGATGGCCTCTTAGTGGCTCATCCGTGACGCCGTCGTCTAATCTCGTCTGATCGGGCTGATCTTAGGTTTGCACTAAGTAGCTTGTTTGAACAATCTCGTAATGCGCTCGGCTGCATTCATACTCAGCCTTTTTGGGGCCGAAGCGAGGGTTTCTCGGTTTATCACCACGGGAGGGTTTCAGTTTGCTGGACCAGTTTAAACCTAGCCAGCTGATTTTCAACTATATTCTGAAGTGCAGCGTTACTTTAGTTCAAAATTAGACTTAACTTTTATTTTACCTCAAACTTTTCTGTTTGAAGTGATGGGCAGCCGTCATGAAACAGCTTCACTAAAAAATATTCCGGCATTTCGGAATAAAAGCCCACGAGTGAACTCAAAAGACGCTTTAAACCAGTGTAGTTAAAAGACTAGACAACGGAGGTGTTGTGTCTATTTGTCTCCTGGGTCTGACTGTAAAGGGTTTAATGAGTTTAAAAAAACTTCGCATTCTAAAACTCGGAGGATAAAATTCTGCCCGAGGATTCCTGGTTTTTTTTTTTTTTTTGGAACAACAGAACAACTCTCAAATGTCACTAATTCATTAGCCGAGTTGTTCTTCCAACAATTATCAGACATAATAAATGAGTTCCTACATCAGTGCCAGAACTCATCCTCCTGTGTAGGTGTCTGTTGTTGTTTTTCTTTTTCTTTTTTTTTTTTTTCAAATCATCCTAATTGTGAGCAAACTTTTCATTTTCCACTGCACAAGTGCATTCGATATAGCTTCTCTAATTATGCGGTGACCTGGTTTGGTTGCCATCGTTAGCTGATAGAAACTAATTAGGCAGACGGAAAGATGGGTTTGAACAAGCTTGTTAGTGTGCAGTCAGTCGTGGTACACAAACCTGGGGAGGAGAGCCCAACATATGGCTGCAACAATGCTGTGAGCGCTGGTGTGTGTGTGTGTGTGTGTGTGTGTGTGTGTGTGTGTTGTGCTTGTGTGGGTGTAAAAGAGGGGAACCGGTGTGAGCCTGTTGCTGCTCGTGGAAGTTGATGCATTTTGTTTTTTAGTTCGTGGGGGGAATAAAATCTGAATTTGCTACATTTTTCGGGACAAATAAGCCCCCGAGGAAAAGTTAGCGGTTACCAGAAAATCAATGCAAGTCAATGGGACGGCCTCGGTAGTGATGGAAAGACGACTTTTTTGTGTGTGTGTGTGAATCACATATGGCAAAAAGCAGCGCTAGCCACCCCAAACGTCTGCCGCGGATTAATACAGGGGCTTCTGTGGTAATTTCCTTTTTCCTTTTGAAATCTGGGCTTTCCTCTAATGTCGCAGCACGACCTAGTGGCCGCGCAGACTGTCCGCTAATTAATAGACGACAGGTTGGAACCTGCGAATCTGTTTGCAGCCTTCATGTCACATCAGAGTTTTGTTGTGTTGCTCGTGGCGGGGAACCAAAATGAAAAACAAAACAAAAAAAATAACCACAAACTGAACTGCTCCTGTAAAATATAAGAAGGGGATGTTGGTTTAGCAATTAGCCGATACACAGACACGAATTAAAAAATCTAAATATATACGAATGTAGCAAATGAGCTGCATTCACACAAGTGTGCTGCATGCTGTAATTAAGCACTTAACACCCAATCATGCTCTGTTTCATGCACACAAATGCCGAGCGGGCCCAGCTGATTCTGATTTTGCATCGAGACGCCAAGAGGAAAAGAGCTGCCTTAAAATAGGGCTGCAGGTTCTTGTCGGCTGGCGTCAGGAGGAGTCCGCGTTTAGATCTGTTGGAAAAACATCAGTTAACGGACGCTGTGGTCAGCAGCTGCATGCTGGTGCATTAGTGTGACATGTAGGGAAAAAACAAAACAGAAGATCAGACCGTCAGCAAGAACAGTCCGTCAACACCGAGACAGAGAAGCAGGTCACAGTCGGGCTGGAGAGCGTAAACCCTCATTATAGAGACGAACGCACATCGGAGAGTTCAGCGGTGCAAAAACAACGGGCGCCGGTCTGCAGGGGGGTGGATCAAAGTCGGTCCGATGAGTCAGCCTTCAACGTGCTCCGCCATTAGAACCGTACAGCCGCCGGATCTCCACCAATCAAACACCTAGAGGTCACTTTGGACGCCACTGAGGGAATAAACACAGTCGTCCCGTCCCTCTCCAGAGACTTGGAGAATGAATGAAGCTGTTTTTTTTTTTGTCACCCATTTATTAAGGAAATGAAAGTATCTCTAAATGATTGTTGGTTGTCAGCGAGTTTATCCAAACAAGCCAGATGAAAGCCACGGCTAAATGAAGAGTTTGGATTCTTGCATGCCGTTTTGAAAACAGCACGAGTGCTCAGCGCTCAGTAAATAATTTAACCAAATCCGCTGTAGTGTTGCTACTCCAAAGGGTCTTAATCAGCATCACAAATTGTTTACAGGAAGTTAAGTGGCACTTTTTTTCTCACATTACGCTGTTATTTCCACCACAGTGATGTGAAAAGTTTGTGGAAAGAGAAAGAAAAGAGCTGCACAGCGGAAGAAGTCTGGACAAACGTTGAAGGCTGGCTTTGGTCGACTTTAAATGCAAACTTGGCTCGGTTATAACATTTTAGAAGTCAAGGGTTCAGAAGATTTAAAGGCTTTTTTGTCGTACACAACAATTAACAAATAGAATAAAACTCTTAGTTCCGTCTCTACCCAACACCGTGGTGATGGTGCAGGAGATTTTACTATTGATCGATGTGTCTTGGTTGGATTGGTCGGCACTCGCAGTGGGCATTTCAGAAAACTTCTGCGCCGAAGGACTAAACTATAACCTGAAGGTCAGAAGTTCATCCCCCACAAATCTCCCGCTGATCACAGTTTAGCCTCTTGGTGCAGAGCGTCTCCAGACTCGATGGAGGTTCCACAACAGTCTGTCCTTGCAGAACGGCGCCTCGTCTCTCCGGCCACACTAACTTTTCCGTCTGTCCTTCGTTCAGATCCCGTCCACGGTCCCCAAAACGTCAACGTGGTGGACGTCAGGGCTCGTCAGCTGACCATCCAGTGGGAGACTTTCGGCTACGCGGTGACTCGCTGCCACAGCTACAATCTGACGGTAAGAGCAGCAGCTGGAAATCTGAGCCGTAACTCAAAAAAAATCAAGGTTTTCTGCCGTGAAAGCGCAGAATTATGTCACTAGCAGGAAGTGGAAGCGCATCTGATCTGTAAAAGGTCAACTGCAGGTTAAAATTACATGTTTTTAACTTCATTTTATTGGAATGTGTCGTCATTAGATGGAAAACATGCGGACAAAAAAGATGCAGGTAACTAGGAGTCCTGTTTCATTCTTTAGTAAACGTTCACTAAAATGTAAATCCACACTTACAGAAGCAAACATCTTGGTTTTAGGATATTATATTCTGCATCGAAAGGCGAATTTATGCCTCTTTCAACCTCTTAAATTCCAATATTGCACTGTGGCATTACGAAGCAAAAGTTTATATGGAATTGGTGACATTTAGTTTGAACCTGCACAGTTAATTTGCATATTTTTAAAACTTCTGCCAGTGTCGTAAGGTTGCACGCATTGCATTAAGGCAGCCGTGCGTCGGTCGTAAACCAGCGGAATAACCTCCGTGTTCCTCCCCAGGTGCAGTACCAGTACGTGTTCAACCAGCAGGAGTTCGCCGCCGAAGAGCTGATCCAGACGTCGTCGCACTACACCCTGAGAGGACTGAGGCCTTTCGTCACCGTCCGGCTGCGTCTGGTTCTGGCCAACCCCGAAGGCAGCAAGGAGAGCGAGGAGATCGTCAAGCAGACGGAGGAGGACGGTGAGGCCCATTTGTAAAGATGTATTCAGAATGTTTAATGGCAAAGTTTCTGACGCGCTATCGATCCGAGACGTAACCGGCGGCGGCGGCGGCTCAGCGTCTCCCTGAGGAGAGGCCCTCTGGCTCCCCGCAAAAATGATTCAGAATAAATTCTCTGACAGCCGCCGCCGCCGCCGCCGGTGGCTTGTTTAGAATAAACAGGAGGAGAAGTGGCCACCTACAGAACGCTGAACTTCTCGAGCTGAGCGATGTCGCCGTCCAGCCCACACTGTGTGAGTGACGGGCGGTTGGAGGGGAGGAAAACGTCGGAGCGGTAATTGTTTGGCGCGACATATGGAGACGAAATGAAAACAACGGCAGCTCCAGCCAGTTCTTTTAACTTGTGACAGGTTTTAAAGTTTTAATCAGCCTTTTTTTTTGTGGAGAAATACAACATAAATAAACACCGCTGGTAACAGAATCATACTGAAGCCATAGATTTGCATATAAAGTATTACAGATTGGAGAACAGCTGCTTTTTTTTTCTCTGGTTTATCATTACTTGAAGTAACATGGAGTTTTTTTTTTAAGGATCAAACCCTCTAATAAATGCATTTAAACTAAAGCAAAGTGGTTGAGACAGTGAGACACAGATGCTACTTAGCTTAAAAGCTCTAATATAGATGGATGGATAGATCTTCTCATAGGTACTTTGGCCATATGAGCTCCTCCTCTCATCCACCAGCCATCAAATACTGCTGTTCTGTCAATCCACATCAATACTGGACGCTGATAAACGTAGAGGTTTTCCAGCTTAGTGGAATAACTACTGTAGATTGGAGAAGTTGTGTTGGTCCTAGGACTTGGTTTTGGTTAAGTTTAGGCACCGAAACTACGGGATAGGTTTTGGAAAGGACCGTAATTTGGGTTAAAATGCACCACATGTTAGAAGGTGAGCTTCCACTAGAGCAGGGGTCCAATCCTGGTCCTCAAGAACCACAGTCCTGCATGTTTTAGATGTTTCCCCTCTTCCACCTGATTCAAATGATCAGGATGGTTATCAGGCTTCTGCAGATCTTGATGATGATGAGCTGATCATTTGAATCAGGTGTGTTGGAAGAAGGGAAACATCTAAAACATGCAGCACTGTGGCTCTCGAGGACCAGGATTGGACACCCCTGCACCATAGCATCGATTTCTGACTTTTGGGGAAGTGTTTAGGTCTATGGGACCACAACGCACTTTGGAAAATGATGCTAAAGGACGGATAGACGGACAGAAAGATGCTCTATTCAAGAGATGTCAGAAAAAAATAAGGAAGCTAGTGTGCAAACGAACGTGTAACTTTCAAATGAGCGACCAAATGAAACTTCTGAAGACAGCGAAACTAGGTGTCCAGGTGCAAATCTGTGCTCGTATTTGGAATAAAAAGGAGCTTTAAAACGTCTAAGTGCAGTATAAAAAATACAATAATTGTATCAGGCATATAGGAGGAGCGCATTAGATCTGTACTCGCACAGGTTTGATCCCTGGTTCCAATCAACCGGCGCAGCACAAATGTAAACGTCCTCCAGCAGTTCAGACTATTTCACCGCTTTAAAAAAAAAAACAAACTCCTGCTTCCCTTCCAGAGGCCATCGTGTTCCACTAAATCAGAACGAATAATTCATCGCCGCCCTTGTCTTTTTCTCCCAACAACACGCCTGCGATAAACTGGAATATCTGGTCTCCATTAGAGCAACGCCTGATAAGAAGGATAAAAAAAAACCAACAACAACAACAACACATTGTTCTAATGATCCCAAATCTCTCATCTCTTTCCCAACCGTCCTCGGGGCTCGCTGCTCGCTCCTCCTGATCTCATAACTAATATCCTCTGAATTTAGCTTCTGGGGAACATCACATCCCAGCCAGCCTGAAATTCCTACCTTTGCTTGGCGAACACACACACACACACACACACACCCACACACACACGCTGCGATTTGCCCCCGAACCCTTTAAACCGAAAGCTAACATGACTGGGGAGTAGCGATGGCTTTAGGGTGTAGAGGGGGTGGGAAGAAAAAAAAAAAAAAGCCTTAATTGTTTTGTTCTTAATTGTTTTTTATTTAACCATCGTTAATCTCCTGGTTGTAATTCAGTAATTAGAGAACAGAACAGCAATTGTTCACACGGAGGCTAATTGCTGTTTGTACGGTAATAGCTTTATAGAGCCGGAGCTGCTGCAAATGAACACACACACACACACACACACACACACACACACACACAGGAGCATATAGGGTTTTCCTCTTACTCTGTAATCTTGCTGATAAAATAAAAAAAAAATAGACTTTAACCTATGTTTAGGGGCAAAACGAGGGATTTGCAATTAAGATATGAAATTACTTTTCTCTTCGCTCACAAGGACTCGTCTTCCCCAGTTTATAATTGTAATCTCAGGACGAGGGCCTCTCAGGTTTTAATCACGTCCTCCTAAATTGTTTTACCAGCCAGATTTACAGCATATTAACATGCACACACACACACGGTCTACCCGACCGCGATAATTCGTGAACTCTTTCTCAATGTGTTTAATTTGACTTATTCTGTTTTGGTTCCACGTCGCTACTCAGACGCTTAAGAGTTCCCGTTTTTACCTCCTTCGAAATGGGACGCTTTTGTTCTCCTGCGTGCCGCTACGGAGCTAATTACCTCACAGATTGGACGAAAAGTTCAAACCGTTGAAGAAATGTGAGTCGATTAAAGCTCGGGGTTGAGTTGAGGAAGGGTTTGTAGAGTTTATTTGGTGTTTGAACCAACATGCAAACACGTAAACCTGCAGCAGTTCAATCTAATTTTAACTTGAAACATAAAGTCAAGCTACACGTCTAACAGGTTTTGTCTGGTTTCCTCCACTTCCACACATATCTCTCGCTCAGGAGTCGATTTAGCCACCTGACCCTTTGGGCTACTTTTAATAAGACGCACTGCATCGATGTCTTATGTTAGTCCTGGGAGACTTTGTTGTGCGCACGGTGCTAGCTCGATAAACAGGAATAACTATGGTAGCTGTACGCAAAGATGGAAATATCTGCAGCCGGATGAAGATATAAAAGTGAGTCATGAGCTTATGAAAACAAGAGAATGGATAAAATATGAGTAAAACTGATGCAAACTTTCAGCAAAACTGGCCACTGGATGGTCACCTAAAGCTGTTTGGACAGATATTCGTTGTACATAACGCATGCACATGTCAGTTTGTTGCCCTGTTTGGATTTTGCAGCCACCATCACACACAATCAGACACGCAGTCATGTTTCCGTCGCTTTAGAAGACGTTATAGTGATTTGGGTTCATTTCCTGGAGGTTTAGCGTAACCACCGCTGGTTTAACTGTCACACTGCGGACTGTTTATGGAACAGATGTGCCGTTTAAGACTTACAGTTGAGGCAAAACAAGATGCTCTCATTATTTGATTGTTGTGGAATCTGCACAGATTTTCAAATGTAAATGGTAATATTTAGGTAGACCCTGTGTGGGATGCGGCTACAAAGCAACCAACTGGCAAATAAATAAAAGTAGAAGCCCTGTTTGACACAAATTTGGCATTGATTGTTTATCTGTAGCTTAATTCATGACCAACTTCTTTGTAAAAGAGTCACGCAAATAAACATAAACAGAAGAATTATGTGTATTTTTAGGTTTGCAGTGCTGATCTCTGCAGCTGATCTCGTTCCCGCTGCAGGAACGTCCATTGATCGCAGTAAAGCAGCAGCTTTTCTGTCAAAAATCTGCACACGTGAAGCCACTTCACCCAAAAAAATAACCTTAAAAGAAGCCTTCAAATCAGAATTGGACCATTTACATCATGACTGCTTGCTTTTTTTTGGTCCCCGAAACGTGACCGGACTCATCTCCCCCGCAACATGAGTTGTGCATAAACACACAACAAACGCACACTGGCCTCAGAGACAAACGTCATGTCCACTTATTGTCCACAGCAGCCCATTAAGCTAACCATGAAACACCTATCTGTCAGGTAGCTGTCAGGTCGGCTTAACGCAGCCGCTCCACTGCCGCCTCTCGTACTGATCAAACGTGAGCCAGAGGAAGTCGGAGGAGTCGTCTCGCCTCGACCTCTCCGTCTTGGGAATCGTGCGACGCAACTGTTTTGCATGAGTTCGGCGTCGCCTGGAGCATTACATGCATTTATTGTTCAATCACCGCATCGGCTGTAATTGAAACACGCTTAAACAAGGACAACATGTTCAGTCTTAATTGTTGCTCCGTTGCATGTAAATGAAGCCACACAGAGCGTCGAAGTGAATGGAGATAGTACGATACGGGAAAAAAGGGCTCAACAAACTGGAGCAGCAACCCCCCAGTAAATATTTAGGTAAATATGTGTAGTAGTAGAAAAGGTTTAGAGATAGTTGCAGAGATAGAAAGTCCCTGTTAGAGTTAGTACGGAAACACCGAACAAATCACAGATGTCTGAGCAAAATCCATGAGTTAGTCCATAGACGCTGGAGAGTTATAAAACATTTGGGAACTGATTTAAAAAAGAAAAAAAAAAAAGCCTTGTTTACATCCTTATTTAAAAATAACAGCAATGGCAACACGTACATGGAAAAAGGATATAAATGGACGGATGGAGCACAAAGAGAAAGGTTTGCACCATCACAATGAAAAAGTTTTAAAAAAAAAAACAACCTTGTACTTTTCAAGTCCAGTATGACAAAGAAACAAAAATTCAAATTAAGCAACAAAAGCGCCCGTTGCATTCCTTCTTTTACAGAAAGTTTTGGAGGGAAATTCAGATCAGCATCAAACCAATCATGGACGTTAGAGGTCAGACGTCAAACAACTCACTTTAACATCATCTTCTAAACGTGAAAATCTGGGTGTTGAACAGATTTCAAGATAAGAGATCTGAGATCCTAATGTGCAGCTAATTAAAATGAGATCAAACACAATATATATATATATATATATATATAATCTCGTATGTTTGCTGAAATCATAATAAATGATTT